GATATCTTATTAATTTACTGGTAATAAGCCGGAAGCTAATAGTGGTAGTTCAAAGTTTTACCTTAGCATGTCACTTCCTGTTGCCATTAGGTGATACTATAAATATACATGAATATTTGCATTCATATGGGCTCTTATTAAATATCAGTGGCAGATCAGACATTATATGTTTGAGTTACTACACTTTCTGGTTTATTAGCATACTTTGGCACTCTGCTAAGTGTTGTTAGCATTATTAGCACATTAAGATCTCTAAGAGCATCATTCGGTTATGAGCTGAAAGGATTAATATGTGCTTGGAGGATTAACAGTTCTTCAGATTTGATATGCGTGGAATGGCGAGAACTGCCGGGGATTTATTTTGGGACTCGTAGGACGACATTGAGGTTAATTTGTCTTTCATTTGCCTGAATTGCTCGTAGGAGGTTTCATCCACATTAATATGGCTAGATGACTTTAAAACTGAAAGTAATTGAAAATAATTCGAGATCACTGAGATGTAAACAGGATATTACTCTCAATATGATCACTGTGGCTTCGCCGCTTGAAGTGCAGAGGAGGCGTTGTTGGCGGCTGACCTTGATGAATGCGGTACACTAAAAATACAAGTGACAGTATGCTTTTATCTTTGTTCAATGTAATGACGCTTTCATGTTCTTCTGGCAGTTCCCTGTATGTTTGGAAATTGTGTTTATGACATTCTCTTTGTCTTTAATGTTTTAAAGAAATGAAATGTTTTGGCAAATCAAAGTGACTCACTCATTTAGAGTTAAAATTCATTGTGTGTGCTCTAATTCTGTGAATAGTAACCTACTTCTATATTAGGCTGATTGGTCATCTCAATCATTGTGACATTTATAATGATGTATAGTTTGTTATGAAAGGACCATTTTAGGCTGAGATGCAACTATTTGATTTTTTGGAATCTGATGGTTGCATTGTACTAATAAAAAATAAGGTTTAATATATGTAAAATAGGGAGACATGGTTGCTCAGTGGTTAGCACAGTCGCCTCACAGCAAGAAGGTTGTTGGTGTGCCAAAGGGAAGTTAATGAATGAATATGTTTGATTGAAAATGTACAAAGTGTCTTCATGGGAGATACTTAATACTCTAATGATTTTTTGGACATAAATTACACCAATAATTCTGACTCTTGTTGGCTCTCAAATATTCATGTGCAAAAGGGAATAGAGGGATGAAGGGAATGCTCAGTTCAACTCAGTTCATGACCAGATCAGAACGATCTTCTAGTCTTATTGCAAACTGATTATTTGAGTCCATGTAAGCTGAACTAGTGTCATGTGTTTACTAGGGGTGCAACAGTTCTTGGTAAAAAAAAAAAAAAAAAATCCAATCATCCCAGTGTCCTCCCACAGATTCGTACGCCTTTGATCCGTGGTCAGAATATGCATTAATTCATTCATTCATTCATTCATTCATTCATTCATTCATTCATTCATTCATTCGTTCATTCATTCATTCATTCATTCATTCATTCATTCATTTATTCATTCATTAATTCATTCATTAATTCATTCATTCATTCATTTATTCATTTATTCATATATTCATTCATTCATTCATTCATCCATTCAGTTTGTTTAGGTTTCCCTAACTGTCACTCAAGTGGCCCCGCCCTTAATTATACAGACTTAATATAAACAAAACGGATGAGTTTTACAATAATTCACCCCCCACAAAGTTGTTATGAAGGGTAATATTAGCTAGATACACCACAATCGTTTTTGTACCAGGCTGTAAACATTTTTTTTTCTGCTGTAAAGCTGGCCATTTTAACATTGGGGTCAATATAAATGTGTTCAGATATGGAGCCAGGCCTAGCGGAATTTCAATTCTAATTGTTTTCCATATTAGCTTCACAAGGGAGAGCGAGATGTTGGCGTTTGATTTCAACATAGCACATATCGTACCGTATCAAAAATGCGACCCTTAACCTTTGATGCATAACGAAACGTGAATAGTTTGCACCGTTGCACCCCTAGTGTTTATGTGTTTTCTTTGAAAACGTACAACTAACTTAAAAAGTATCCATCTTGGTAAAGAATATGCATTTTTTAAACAATCCATATTAGCAAACAATACCCATAGCATACTACATCCTTTAGAAATAGAACTCTGCTGAACTATTCTGATTATTGTCATAAACTTTCATTCCATTCCAGTACACTGACTCTTGGACAATAACTTCATCTTTCCCCGGCCTCTGACAGTCATAACTCTTTGTGCAATGAGCTCAAAAAAACAGTATCAGAAGCCTCAGGCGCTAAGGCCATTAGCTCGAAATATTATGATTTATATCGTTTGACGCTTTATGAGGATGCCTTTCATGAGAGTCCTTTTGAATTATATTTACGAGATAAATATTCATTGTTTACTCAGGTGACATTAGCCCTTGTGTATGAAAAATTGAACTGAAATCTCTTTAAAGAGTGCCAATCCTTCAGCGATTAATCAACGGGAGCGCGGCACCTGTGTTTACTATGCAAAAGAAAATCAATGGTCTATGAAATTCATACTTTAATTATTTGGTGAATAAATTGGTCTTGGGGAAATTCATTAGGACGATGAGGAAGTTTGTGTCTTTCTCTCTTTCTTTTCTTTTGTGAGAAGTCAGTGTGGGTATAATATAGCAGACATAAGGCAAACAGCGTGAGATCACAGAGGTAATCCGCTCTCTCGTATCTCCTGGATTTATACGGCATAATATGACTGCTTCAGAGTTACAGAAAAACACACGTAATTTCGTTCTGTTGGCAGCTTGTCTTTTGTCATTTGGTTTCTAGCTCAATGTGACATGATAAAGAATACTTCATTCCTCTGCATATCTGCGCAGAATAAGAAATGTGCCCGGGTACTCTGAAGTGACAGTAATGATTGATCACGAAAACGCAATGATTGCGTGTCTTGACTTTCTTTCTCTTTTTTCTTACTAACTTCAGAACTATAATTTTTAATATCGTGATTGGTTATGCTGGCATTTTGGGTGGTGCCTTGCGGTCAGATGATGTAATATAATGGAACAGAAAAGCATGTTTTACAGTCTGTGAAACGACATGGTGCTTCTTAAAAAGGACATCCATTATTGCGGTTTTAATAATACTAATAAAAGATCATGGTAACCATGCTTTTTTAATCATCCTCTATTTATTGTCATACCAATATAATTGATGAGTTCACTTATGTGAATATTAAATGCTCGTTTAAAAACACAATATTAGTTTTCGCTGTAGCTGATATAAAGTCTCATATCAGAATTTAAAACCACATCTAGTTACACTTTATTTATTAGCATTCCATGACATTACACTTAGTGGTGTAAAGAGTAGTGAAAAATCATTGTCGGTGGGCATAGATTCATTTTTTGAATCTACAGGGTGGGCCATTTATATGGATATTCCTTATAAAATGGGAATGGTTGGTGATATTAGCGTCCTGTTTGTGGCACATTAGTATATCCGAGGGGGCAAACTTTTTAAGATGCGTGGTGACCATGGTTGCCATTTTGAAGTCAGCCATCTTGGATCCAACTTTTGTTTTTTTTCAATTGGAAGAGGTTCATTTGACACATCAAACTTGTTAGGAATTTCACAAGAAAAACAATGGTGTGCTTGGTTTTAACGTAACTTTATTCCTTCATGAGTTATTGACAAGTTTCTGACCTCTTCTAAAATGTGTTCAATGTGCTGCCCCTTTTGTTGGATTGTCAATGCAACCCTCTTCTTCCACTCTTCACACACTGATAGCAACACCGCAGGAGAAATGCCAGCACAGGCTTCCAGCATCCGTAGTTTCAGGTGCTGCACATCTTGTATCTTCACACCATTACTAGTTGAAACCAACTCATTCGAGTTTGAATTAAGATCAAGGCTTTGGTCAAAAGTGTGCTAAGTGACTGAATGTGAATGTAAATGTAGAACAAAATCAATATAACAAGTACCTTGACATCTGTTACAGTTATGCAATGGGGTGGTATGACGCACCAACAACTTTTGGTCGTTTTTACGATACCAGCTGACCACTTACTGCTTACCTCCATACGGATGGCTTTTCCAGTGCTACTAGTTTCCCCAGTAGCTCACCACATACACTAATGGACTTGGGATGTGGATCACGACAACAGGGTTCGAGTCTGGCAAAAAACAGTTCCAGAAACCATGTAAAAATAATAATAATAAGTAACAGGCTGAAAGCGTCGTGAAATCTGTAAAAATGGCTGTGATGGCTTTTCATTTTTTTTCTAAACTGGTTTTGAAAACACTATCGGTTGGGTTCAGGGAAGGGTGTGGGTGAGTCTGTTGGTCAGTCATCAGCAAGCTGGTCAGCTAAAATGCATATTGCAGCCTCTGGGGGATTTACTCGAGAAGAGGACATGCAAATGGCACGTTTCAGAGTAAATTGAGATCATCCAAAAGTGTACAGAGCAGCCTCTGGTGGATTTGTGAAAACAAAAACAGCAAGCAGACGTAGCTCTGGGTATCTATTTTACCGTTCCCAGTAATGTAGACCTGGGTATGAATCCACAATGAGCCTGGGTTGTTTTTATTACTAGTTGAAACCAACTCATTTAAGTTTGAGTTTTGATCAAGGCCAATTCTCATAAAAATACGGTTTTGGACCAGTCTAAGTCTGGTTTTGCCTGAACCGAATACAACAGCACTGCTGTTTAGGACATAAATTACTGCAAGGTTTCTGCTTTATTTGGTTGGATCTGCTCTGTACTGTATATAGGGTTAATGTTCCCATTCTACTGCAGTTGAGAATCAGATCTATGCATTCCTATAACTGACCCTGAACCCTATAGCAGAGAGCCCTGAATTAATCCCTATCACCAAAACATCAGCTCCCATACTCCCTCTTTATGAGCCCTGGCTCTGACAAGGTCAGTGTACTACAATGCAGATTTAGACAGGCCTCTCCTTCGGGACACGTGCGCTGCTCTTGTAGCTCATCTGCTTGCTCTTCTTCTGCCCCCAACAGAGATCATCTACAGCTGGGTGTTCAATGAGCTCCCCTCATTCGTGGCAGAAGACAGCCGGCGATTCATCTCGCAGGAAACGGGAAATCTGTATATCTCCAAGGTGCAGCCCTCAGACGTGGGCAGCTACGTGTGCCAAGTGAAGAACACTGTGACCAACGCTAGGGTCCTGAGCCCGCCGACGCCCCTGACTCTCAAAACAGATGGTGAGCTATTACACACACTTCGCAGGCACACACACTTAAAGCTCCTCTCACAAAAAAACCCTTCACCTGCACAGCAGAGCCAGGCTGGATGCCAAATGCCTCTCTAGGTGAGCCAAATTGATAAATCAATACCATGACATGAAGTCTCTTTGCAAATAAATTAAACAGAGACATTATTTTAGCTTTTTTTTTTTTTTTTTTTTTTTTTTTTTGCTAATGCTTTGGAAGATAAACATTATTGCACAGCTTCAGTTGGCAGACAGGGCGATTATAAACAAAAATGTAGGTCACTCTATTTTAAACACTCTCATTACGTGCATTTTATTTACTTACATGTTACATAATAGTACAATTCCAGATTTGGTAAGGTGAAATTAGTTTTTACTTTTTTCAGCTGATTATGATTAATTATGATTATAATTATTTTGCTCATGCCGAGTTCAGACTGCATGATTTTAAAGTAGTCGTGTCACAGATGTTTCCACACTGCATGATTATCTGGGCTAGCGTTTTGTCGCTGCTTTGTTTACACTGCAAGATGGATCCGCGACAGGGGCTTTCACATTGCATGACTTTACAATAGGAAGAATCACCGACAACTTTGTCCAAACTACGTCTCACTGCCAAAAACATGTAGGATATCTTTTGTCATTAACTACATAATGAAAACAAAGCCTTTAACGGGGTAGAAAATGTACATATTTGCCCACCTGGGTTTGAAGGGAATTAGCAATTTCTCCTCAACTTTCTTTTTTTAACTTTCTGTATGAAACGTCAAACAGACAAGGGCACTCCTGTCAAACCTCCACTAGTTTTTCCTCATTTTCTTGGGTCCAAATAAACCGAAAATAAGCAGGCCTGCAGGTACACACACTCATTGGTTGTAGGTGACCGCAGATGTTATTTTCAGTCAAAACTCATTTCACACGGCATGATTTGAATCGCTGACAGCTCCAGATATTTAGCACGCCAAATATCTCGCAGGCATCGGCGTACTGTGTGATTGTCACTCACGTGCACGCCCACCGATTTGCCTGTGATTTCAGGCATTTGTCTGCGATTTTTCAAAACCTGTCGGTGAGTCAAAATCAGGGCTAAAATCATGCAGTCTGAACTCGGCATTAGGCCCTGTTTACACTAATACGTTTTAGTTTTAAAACGGCGTTTTAGAATGAAAATGATCCACGTAAATACTAGCGTTTTATCTAGCGTTTCTGAACAACTCTCAGTCCACACTACACCCCTGAAAACGCACATCACATGACTACACATGCTGTTAGCATATTCAGATGTCTGAGCTCCAGACAGACAGCAGGAGCTCTGTAGGCACCTCCCCAGGAGAAAGCAGCGGACGTCGGACAGTTTATCAAGGATCTACCACTGGACCTTCATCTCACTATAGCTGTTAAAAGTGATATTTAATTTATCTACCTAACGACTCTTTAAAATCTTTTAGCTACTTGTATTCAGGTAACTTGTTTTTGGCTGAGCACAAAGATAAGTTAATATAATAATTTATGTAACCACGTAATCTGATTCTGCACACTGAGTGATTGCTTGCCTTTATTTGCTATATTTTATAAACTTATTGTATTATTGATTGCCATTATTGATTATTAAAACTGATATTCAGCAAAAAAAGACAGGGTATGTTTATTTATTTTTTCAATTAAATGAAAGGAAGCAGTTATGTTATAGCAGGGGTGTCCAAACTCGGTCCTGGAGGCCCGGCGTCCTGCGAGTTTAGCTTCAACTTGCTTCAAACCCTTTCAGGAAGCTTCTATTATATCTAGTAAGAGCATGATTAGCTGATTCAGGTGTGTTTGATTAGGGTTGGAGCTAAACTCTCCAGGTCACCGGCCCTCCAGGACTGAGTTTGGGCACCCCTGTCTTAAAGGCTTCATCTTTTTATAAATAGGAATATATTGAAGATGGTTATATAAATGTGTAGATATAGGATGCCTTACCATTTTTGGTCTCTGGTAAGTTGTTAATATCAAAATGAAAATAGACAGTTCCTTATATCGTGTTTTTATTTTTATTGGTAATATTGTGAAACAACGTAGCCAGGGTGATGCCAATGACATTATAAAGTACTGCTCCCTTTGAAAATTTACCCGACATGTCCTCGGGAGTTTGTTTTCCATATCAATATTGGGAAAAAGCTCCAATCAGATAAGCAAATGTCTGCAGCTATGCCTCCGTTTTCCACCATCCACACTGACATGAAGCAGCAGCATATTAAAACCAAAATGTCCTCTCCAGCATTTTCAAAACACTCTATTTTCAATGCTCAAAAACTTCAGGGTAGTGTGGACGGAAGGTGTAATCGTAGCAAAACGCATGCGTTTTAAAACTAAAACCTACTAGTGTAAACAGGGCCTTAGTATGATTATGTTCTGGAGCATGATTTAACAGGCAATAAACACCCATAGACTTACGCTGAAATCTACACTTTAGAGATTTAAGTTGTCTCAGTCTGTGTCATTTTCTAACTTTAGTGCTCGACAGAAATGGGCTTTCAAGGCTGGAAATGTCTCAATAACTTCAGCCCGAATGTCTTGCTGGTCTCAAATAGAGCCACAAAGAGTGGGTGGTAGAATGATGTTGCTATTGAGCACAGTGATACTGTTGCACTATATTGCTCTGTGTGTAAATATGCACAGTTGTATGCAAGACTGAGCCAGCATATGAGAGAATGGCAGGGTTTTAGTTTTAATGTACCAGTCTTCTGTTCTACTTCGTCGGATTGTCATATCTCCAAGACAGAATGTACCATTTTTGTTAGAAAGCACATTTTGATTTAGATTGTGCTAACAGTGCAAATTCCAATGTGGAATTGTGTGATGTGATGTTACATTATCTCCCTAATCTACTCCAATCACTATTCCAAACCTTAGAAACATTCAAAAACAGTGATGGTATAAACTGATTGGTAGGATAATAAATGTTAGGACAGACGTTTAATGCTTAATTCTAAAAACTTAATAGTAGGTTGGAGTGTTGTGTACAACAAAACTAAATGTAAACAAATAAATTCAGCAATGAAAATTAAATCACACTGAACTAAACTAAACGGAACTTAATCTTTGAAAACTGAACTGACATTATTTCCATTTACTAGAACTTCAGTGTTAAACGGCTTTGACACAATCTACATTTTAAAAGTGTAGAAATACAGACGAATTGAATTGATTAAAGTGAGGTAGACAACATTATACGACAGATATTCATGGCATGCGTTAATTCGCCTGAATGAGAACTAGTCAAAACTGGACAAAATTAAGATTGTGAACTATTTTCATAGAAAGTTAGTATCAAATATTCTTTTCTACTGGTGTTTTTGTCAGAATAATGATGGTCATTGCTGAGAGAGTGGCACTTTGTTTGTTTTTTGCTGATGCAACAGGTTCCCGGTTTTGGGCCAGGTTCTAGATATTTGCTCAGGTTTCAGATTGGACATCTTCTTCTAGCAAAGGGATGTCCAATCTTGGTCCTGGAGGGCCGATGTCCGGCATGTTTTAGTTCTAACCTCCGTTAAACACATCTGAACCTGCTAATCAAGCTCTTTATAGGTGTACTAGAAACTTCCAGATAGGTGTGTTGAAGGAAGTTGGAGCTAAACTAGGACACCGGCCCTCCAGGAACGAGTTTGGACACCCCTGTTCTAGCACATGCACCATCCCTGATGGAAAACTGAATGTTCAGTGGAATATGTAACATTCTGTTGTAATTATTGGTGAAATGTACTCACAATTTTTGATAAAATTGTTAGAAAACTGTCTGCGTACAGATAGGATGGATGGTACTTTTGGTAAGACACATTGCTTTTGAGATTATTTGATGGATTTCAGTAACACACTCTAGAAAAAAAAATGCCATCAATATCTCAGAAGGCTACAAATAATGAATGTGCCAGCAGATCAGGCTTGAAAGGAAATGTGGCCGTTTTTCAGCTGCTTGACAAGCGGGTCAGTTGTCTACATTAATGCTTTTATGTCAAGTGAATCAGATTTAATGAGATGTCTGACTTATATGTGTAGTTTATGCGCCTCTTCTTTTTTCGATGCACGAGGGCCCTTTAGGGCCAACCGAAACTGTCATGAATTCCAAACATCCACATTAAACAGAGAGCATGAGGTGTTTTATCTTTTGCTTTAGAGCACTTTTTTTTTTCACACACAATGCACTCTGGTGAAACTGGCCATTGGGGAAATCATTTTCCAGCATAAAATTAACCGAATCAATGGTCCTCTTCCAGAATGGTCCGTAGCTTCTTTAATAGCAGATTCCCGTGGGCCAAGTGAGGGAGCCAAACACCCGACTGTCATTTTTTCCATACTTCACAGAAACACACTCATCACCTGCCGCCGGTACACATCAATGTCAGCCACCCCGCTACGCGATCCCAGGCTAAAAGGACTACAGTGCCCTGAAACCTTGTTTTTGCCAACGTTGCCTAATGTTGCACGTCCTTTGTGAGGGCACAACGTCCCCTTCAGTACGCTCTCAGGTATTTGCATAACCTTGTTGTTGAGAAACGCTCCTCGGAGACAAACAAGCAACTAAGCGCATTAGCATACTAAATTGAATTTGCGCCTCTCGTTAGCACAGATTGCAAATGCAAGTAGCGTCACATGCCCGGAAGTTAAGGAAAGAGCAAAGACGTGCGGCTGAAGGCTAGAAAGGAAATAAAAAAGTCTCGAGGGATGCCACAGGTGGTAGAGTCGGGATGAATTGCTTTAGGGCAGCTGCATTTGCAAATAACCGTAGAGTCAGGGTCTCGAGGAAGGTTGTGCGGCGGTTCAGCGAGAGGTTAGTCACCCATAACACAAGCACGGCTGATGGGAATCTTTATTCATCCCGTGCCTGACGTTTGCCACATTAGCTTGGCAGGCATTGTGTGGAAAGCATCGCACGTTCGGCAGTTAAACGGCTCGGCAGGTTGCGCCTAAAAGCCTGAAAATGATTTCAGCACCCCTTGCCAAACTCAAGCTCTC